ACGTATTCTTGCCTGTTGAGCAAACTAAAAAAATGCTGGGAGAGGCCTTTTCCCCAAGCCGCAGGCTTTGAAGCTACCCGTACATGGTACGAAAATTCAGGTCATCAGGCAGGCCACCATAACTGGGCTAGATAGTGATCAGTCGGGCTAAAATAATCCGTTACTTCAGGAGACTCGTTTTCCGCATCATAAAGCCACCTATATGAAGAACACATCCAATGCTCTAGGTGATCTTCAAGGTTTGCATTTTATGTCACACATACATTTTAACGAACAACACATCTTCCACGGTCCACAGGATAATTCAAGATAGCTGGCTCCACCTACACCAGAGGACTCAGCTATATTCCGGCGTAAACTCGGGCAGCTGGTGGATCCCACTGAACCACCCATTACGGCACAGAACCGGAAGTGTTGCCAAACGCAAATCGTACCAGTGTAAGTCATGCTGTTCCGCTGCCTCGCCTCCGGCTCACTAGCACACACGGTACGTCCAAAGTCACTTCTGTACCTGACACTCGTCACATGCACCCCCGCAGTTCATCCCGCCGGCGTGTTCGTCCTCGCGCCGGCAGCTCTCGATTCTTCTTCTTGTTACCGCCCCCTCTTCTGGCCCCGCGGCCGCGTCCCTCTCACGGGGCGCCGGGAGGAGGATCGGAATGCGAGCACCTCTAAGCGGCGCTCGTCAAACCACGCAAGCATTCACTGGCTTTCACACATGTGTTCCCTGACATCTTACAATGAATGATTCACGGCATCATGAACATATATCTCACGAACCTAGTGCAACAAAGACATTAAAAAAAGACCCCTAAACGATATCCGTCACGTCATTGCAACTAACCTAGACAACGTGTTAACACAAACAACGCGAATACACCATGAATCAATGTTATGCACCCAGCTATTGCAGTCATGGGCTAAATCGGTGTGGAGGGCGTCCGACTCGGGTGCTAAATCGGTCTGGAGGCCGTCTGACTCGGGTGCTAAATCGGTCTGGAGGCCGTCTGACTCGGGTGCTAAATCGGTCTGGAAGCCGTCTGGCTCGGGTGCTCCGCTTTTCGCGATGATCGTTCGAAGTTGGCTGCCCTACAGACACTGGGATCCAGGGCCTTTGCCCTACAAACACTGGGATCCAGGACCTGGACGCACTCGAACGGGGACTCGGGCTTCGTGGCGATTCATTGGTTTGCGCCAGGTTACGGCGAGACAGTGGTGAGGTGGGCCGCGGACACGTGACCTGCGCACCGGGGTAGGGCACGAGGTCGGTATCACTGCTGTTGCCGGCTCGTCAGGCGGTTCAGCCGCGGCCTGGGACGACGTAGGAATCGCAGTCTGGGCCTCTGCAGGTTGATCTGCAGCCGCGGCTTGGGCTGCAGCGAGGTTCGCGATCTCAGCCTCCTCAGGCGCCACAGCCACCCAGCCACGTCAGTCCCCTACGTCGCTGGCAACGGCGCTGCTGGTTCAGCTGGCACAGCCACCTGCTGTCCGTCTGTGGACGTCGGTACGGCCGGTGGTGGCGCAACTGTCTGAGTCGGCATCTGGCACTGCAACTGCGCCGTCTGGCCGTGCAGCGCCGCGACCGGCGCAGTCCGGTGTGTTGGTGTTGCCGACGGCGACTGTTGCCCGACAGTGCCACCGTTACGCGGCTGCAATCAATTGTGGTGGACCACGAGTTTCCTGCGCCTGCCGCCGCGCAGCTGAACGCGGTAATTTAGCTCACCTGTTTGGGCAAGCACCACCGTCGGTTTCCAGAGCGGAACAAATTTGCGGCACTCGCCTCGGGCGGGCACCTTCCGGAACAGGTGCACCGCATCACCCGCCTGGTACAAGGCGTACCAGCACGGTCTCTTGGCCCGCGAGCGGTCGGCGATCGTCGGAGCGTCGGAGTGTGTGAACGTTGGGGGTGGAAGTGTGTCCACCCCAAACTGATTTCCTGCGTACGTTCATGGATGTGTTTCTTGACATGCTGGATACACACACGCGCACGGCACACAACCGGTAAATCGTGAATGAATCGTACACTACATAGCCGTAATTGCGTAATTCACCGAACGCGCCCAGCCTCGTCTCATCGGTTAGCGCTTACGGTGAATTCTCAAATGGCAGTGCGTCTTTAGACATCAGTCAGGGACATCAGAGGGCGAGACTTCAGCGTGTCTCCAGATTGATAGGGCACCTGCAACACTCTTTTTTGTCTTGTGTCTTCTTAGATATAATAAAGAACTGAGGCGCATATTCAATGAAGGGTACATACATTACAAAGTGTGTAGCAATGTCCTCCTTCACGCATATTCCAGACGTTGTGACATACAGTCCGGGGAAAGTCTTAAGGCAGTCCGGGAAAGTTCTAATGCAGTCCCGGGAACTCTTCACCAGAAAAAAACGGTTCTTATAGCAGGGGTTAAAATCAGGGCGCGAAGTCAGCACGTTTTAGCCGAATTATGCCTAAAACCAAATTTTACCGATGGCGAAAACCGGAATGTTTTCGCGAAACTCTGGTTTGACTTCGGCAATCAAGAAAACCGGTACTTCGGCAATTGTGCACGAGGAAATTTCGCGGCATTTATGTATTTAAGCGTAATTACATCGCGTTGTGTTTTTGGGTAAGCATTCAAGGAGGAGCGCCCGGAGATGTTAACGCAGAGGTTCAGTGTTGCAGTGATAAATGAAAAACTACATGAAAATGATAAGTAAAGAACGTAAAATAATGAAAACATAACACAACCACAAAATTAAACATCACCAAAACAAGTCCAGAGGTAAACCGCGCTATGTGGCAACGCTCCGCGGTCCGCGGCCGTGCCTCCGCAGAACGCGACCCGCCCAAAGCCTGCGAGCTCGCAGCAAGGCGGCGGATTCCGGGCGGGTTCAACGCGCGAACCTTGCGCACCTCGACCGGGTCGCGTAGCTCTCACTCCGTGGGGACCGGTTGCTGTCGGCGGGCGTGACAGTACAGCGGTGCTGAGATAGCGCCCCGACGTGGGCGAACGCCGCCGGTCGGCGCTCTCCGGAGGACTGGAAGACCCACGAAGATTGAAGTGCCCGTGCAGCCGGCGACGGCCGGTGCACTGGTCGGAAGTGGTGAACCACCCCGGACAGCGACGGCGTCCCCAGCCAGCTGTGGCCTTCGGAGGTACGGGCGGTGGACCGCTGGCCGTCAGT